CACTCAGATCGTAAGCTCTGTGAATCGTGCCCCTGGAAATGTGCAGTGCCCAGCCTGAGCAGTCTGACAGGAAGGGCTTGTCTTAGGCCCACCCGGTGTGTAACACAATAGACCTTCTCCTCACTCCAGTAGATAGTCACCTCCACTGCTGCCAGGGGTCTGTTTGAACTATCTCCCATTTCTACATTTCTTCTTTATTTTGGGGGCCCCTCTCCATGCCACCCTGTATGGATGGGAAATAAGGTAGGGGTTGGAATGGACGAGCCCTCTTCTTTGGGCCCCGTACAGGGCAGGCTAGTGGTTAAAAGTTAGAGTGTTCAGAGCCCCGAGTGACTCACCTGGTGAGAAGGATTAGTTATCAGCTCCTAGGCAGGCAGCAGCCACAGCCAACAGAGAATTAAACATGCACATTAGCCAAGAAGTTCAAGGACCCCAAAACAGCAGGACAGACACCAGGATCCCCCATCATCTACTCTGTCTACTGTGTCCCAGTGAGACCCCCATAGCTGGAGATAGGAACTGGAAGTAACACTGGACAGGAGCAGTGTCTAGCAGACGTGCATTCACAGAGAAGCCAAACAAAGCAGAGACCAGCAGCTCCTCCTGCCTGTCCAGGGGGATCCTCCTCCCCAGCCTGGGGGGGCCCCAGCTCCTGACTTCCCCCTCCCTGGGCCTTTTCTGCCTGTTCTTCCCTCTCCCCTGCTGAGAATATGCTGAGGGGATAGAGGCATTGTCCTCCCTGGAATAAGCTCATCTTTCTAAATAACAAAGGAGACCCAAAGAAGCTTGAGCTGGAATCTATATAGAAAGTTGTATTCATTCAGGCAGAAGAAAGCTAGTGTCCTTGAGTTGTGCCTTGCCCTTTGCCCCCTGCCCCTTGCCCCTTGTCCCTCCCCTGTCCTCTGATGCCTAAGGGGAGCAGAGAAGGCATAGCTTACACCTGTGCTCCCCGTTCCTGACACTGACAGAGCTGAAGCCACCACTCAGAACCTGTACGGGGCATGGAGAGAAGACTGTGTCTCAGGCTCCCAGACAGGGAGAGGAGGCAGCTCGGGCAACACAGCTTCTGGGGTCTCTCCAGCCCTGCTGCTGGGAATTCAGTCCCAGAGATGTGATGGCCTGTTGAATGGCAGGAGGCAGGAGCTGGACTGAGTGGGCTCAGAGAGGAGGGAGGCAGAGAACAGAATGTCTTTCTCAACTTGCCAAGCTGGAGGCCCTGGACCCAATTTGTCCTAAGCCCCATACCTGTTTCTCCTGACTGGCCCCACCCAGCCCACCTCAGGGCCCTATAGACTAGGGAGGCTGGGCCAGACCCCCTGGCTGGGGAAGACTCAGAATCAGGGATTCTGATTCTGGGGACTGAAATCTGGGGACTGAAAATCGGGGATTTTCAGCTGGTGTGCCACAGCACACAGTGTGCTGTCAGAGGATCTTAGGTGTGCAGTGAACATTTTTAAAGATCATTAATTAAATTACTTCCAAGGAAGTTCAAAGCACAATAAGTATATTCTTTTTTTTACTCTTTTTTTGGATCAACATAGTCTAAGTGTGCCGGGAAAGTTTAGCTACAGGTTCAAGTATACTGTGAGTTAGGAAAAAAGTTGAAAAACACTGGACTAGGAGGAGGTGTGTGATTGCCATGTCTGGCACGCCTCCTGCACATGCTCCTCTGTCCTCGGCACCACACAGGGAGCCCGGATTCACAGGAGCCAGCCTGACATGGGCATGGGGCTAAAAATGCATCCTGGAATCAGGAGTATAGAACCAGATGCTGTGGGCACCCACGTTTAAAGCAAATAAATAATCATTTATTTTTTTCTAGAACCCCAAGATCGGGTCAGAGCCTGACCTCCACTCCCACCCCTTTGGACAGTGCCCTAGGATAGCAGCTACATGTGTCCTTGGTCATCCACAGGTCTGGACTTGGCAGAGAGCAGGCCAGGGCACCCTCTCCAGATCAGTGAAGAGGCCAGCTACAACATCCAGCCACTGCTCAGGACCAGGAGGGCAGAGACCTCCCGCATTGGCACCTGGGGAAGTCCTCAAGACTGGAACCCTAGGCTGAGTAGGGAAGATGAGGAAGATGGCAGGCAGCACAGCCCAGAGAGGAAACAGTCCCTCTGAAGGTGGCCAGAGAGAAAGCAAGTGCCTGAGGCCTTCAGGCTAGTAATTCCCAAAGTAGACCTGGGGGGAGGACCCCGCTATGCTAGTTACAGAGTGGAGTCCTGGGCCCCCATGTAGCTCCTGAACCACATTCATTTAAGGATTAGTTCTGAAAATCAGCATTTTTGGCAGTCTCGCAGGTACTCTGCATAGTTCAAGACCCCTGCCTCAGAGATGCCCTGATTTCTGCTACCAGCTCACCCCTTCCACACTTCCTCTGGCCAAACATCTGCATGTGCAGCCTAGAGGAGGAGCTCAGGGCTCCTTGGGGCCTCCAGGCCCAGCCCCAGCCTCAGCCCCTGCAGTGACCTGAAGCAGCCCCCTTCACCTTCCTTACAGTGTGCTCAGCAACTCAACAGGGTGCTGGGAGACAAAATCTGGTGGAGAAAGCAGTTTGAAAGTGATTCGCCTTCTAGGTCTAGCCCTCAATCCTGGGCCACCAAGAGCAGGGGTCAACAGTGGCCAGGCCTTGCCCCTCCATGCCCAGTGCTCCAGAATGACAGTGAGACATGGACAAAACACTACTGCAACACTACAGTGGGGTGTTTCCCCTCCTGGAATGCACACCTCTAACTCACATCTGTGTCCCCCGCAGACACATGGTACCTCATAAAGAATAAAATCACTCAGTATACATGTGAGGAAAGGACAGGAAAGAAAGAAGGGAGGCAGGGAGGCAGGGAGGCAGGGGGAGAGGACAGAGGCAGGGGGAGGCTGAGGTTTGGGTTCAAGGGTATGGAGTGTGGAAGTCAAGGCCCAAGAGACCAGAGGGGGCAGGGTCTTACCTGGTGCCTCTGATAAGCTGAGAACATTTTTTCAAAATCCTCTAGGTCCAGAATCCGAAATACCTGCATGTCATCTATCTCATTCCATACGGTGCCAGGGACACGCTCCTACAATTCAGGGTAGGGAGATGTCACCGCGGTTGATCCAACTCTTTCATTATAGACATGCCAGTGCTTCCCCAACCCTACCTGTCCCCCAACTCCCCAACTACACATATTACAACAACCAGGATTTTCAGACCTTCCGAGAGTCAATTTCTCCCCTCAACCTCCATCCTCTTCAATTCTGCTCCAGAGAGGAGGCCAGAACCAGCCTCCTCTTCCTCCTCCCTCTTGTGTGGGGCCTACGTAGCATGTTCCCAAAATCACTGGAAGTGTTGGAGGGATGGGTGGGTAGTGTGAAAGAGGGTGCTCTGTGTTCCTTCCGGAAGAGCAGAGACAGAGGCAGCGTTCTTAGGGTGCTCCACATAGATCCTCCCTACAGGGCAGGGGTGGTCATTTATTCTCTTGAGGGTCTTCCTCCCACCTTCCCAGATTCCCAGAAAGTGGACAAACGCCAAAGGCTGGGACACCTGGCACCTGCCGTGATTCTACTCAGACTGCATGACTGAAATTGCAGAGCCACAATTTCCCTTTGGGCCAACCACAGAAAGGAGTCCCCATCCTTTATGATCAGGATGGCCCCATTGCCTTTCCTCTGTGTAGGACCCTTGCGCTGGGATCTGGAGAGGAGCTGGAAACCAAGCCAAGAAAAACCGGAGACAAAGCCACAGCAGAGAAGCAGCACCCTGCTGCTGATCCTACCACCGAGGACAGGATCTGGGCTCGGGGCACAGACAGCAGCAGTGTTCCAGCTCTCTCCTCCTGGGAACCCTTCCCTCATCCAGAACTTTGTCGTGCCCAGAGGGTAGCTAGGGAACCTTCTTTATGCCTCTCTCTCCTCCCTACTTTTCAGCAAGACTTGGAGAGAGAAACATACCTTTCACTCACTTTTATTTTCTTAAACTCTGGAAAGGGGAGGCTAGGCCAGAGTCGGGGGGTGGGGACATTCCTGTGGCCTTCTGAAGGCCAGGGACCCTCTTGTGGAATGCTGGGCTGGGAAGCTCAGAGCAGCAAGGAATACAGGCAACTGGCCAACCCCAACACAGACGCATTCTTTTCATGGCAGGAACAACTGTTCTGAGTGCGTGTGTGCGTGTATGCTCATAGGCATGCGCATGCACGGGGTAGGACACAGGATTGGGACAGGAGTTAGGCTCCTGGGGAGGGGGCCATGGGAAGCAGAGAGGAGATGGGAAGGGAATGGAATGGGGGAAGGCAGGTAGGTGGCTTGCTGGGGCAGTGGAGGGGGCTGTGGGACCCAGAGTCTACTCTGCAGGGAGACCTCTATCTACCTCTAGGCCTGGGGTGGAGGTGGGGGAGAGAAGGGCCCACAGAGTTAAAGCTTCCCATCCTCATTTTTTTTTTTTTTTTGCAGTTTTTGACTGGGGCTGGGTTTGAACCTGCCACCTCTGGCATATGGGGCCAGCGCCCTACTCCTTTGAGCCACAGGCACCACCCCCATCCTCATCTTTATCCATGGTGAGGCCAAGGAGAGAAGGAAAGGGCTAGAAGTAGAAGGAGAGAGCTGGATGGTCAGCGCTGGGAAGAATTTCCTCATGAGACAGCAAGCTGAGCACCCTGGCTCTCTCTCACTTCTTCCCAAACACTGCCCTCCCCGCCGCCCCCAGCTTCCCTACATTTGCCAGAGAAGGACTAAGGCTCTGCGTGGAGGTATACCTGCGGTCTGCAGCCAGAGGGAGGTGGGTCTGTTCCTAATGGTCCCAACATCCTAGCTTTCACCACGTCACCCTGATATGCCCACTTAGTGTAATAATTCTCAAATTTAATTTTCCACGACTCTAGCCAAGAGCCCATCATCTCCTGTCTAGACTCCTGGGACTTCTCACCCTACCCCCACCCCTGCAGAGATAGCCTTTACATGCCAGAGAAATCTTTCCCCAAAGCACATTTCATTCTGTTTCCCTCATAGAAGATTGCCTTTGGGGTCAGGCAGGCCCCAGGGGCTGACGCTCCCAGCACTGCCATTGTGTGGGACTGTGGGTAAGTGGAGGGGTACTATCCTTCCCCATGGCACAAGAAAAGAAACTGAGTCCCACTGAGCTGACGTGAGGATTAAGAGAGACAACATACTTAAATATACATGGCTGGGCCAGAATAATAATTAATCTAATATCATTATTAAGACTTTCCATATGCCAGCCACTGTTCCAAGTACTTTATAGGTATTAAGTGAATTACTCCTTACAGCAATCCTTTGAGGTAGAGATTATTATTACTTCAGATCAGAACTGATACCTGAAGTCCAAACGACTCAATAACCTGCCCATCACACAGTCAAGGCTTGGGACTCAAATAATAGATTCTCAAATATTATTCAACGCCCCTCCACCCTACTTCTGCGGACAATATCTGCAACTTGTACAAGTGTCCACCAAACGTACACTTTCCAGTCTGGGAATCAAACTCTGGCCTGCTCTGGGCCCCAGGGAATTTGTATAGACTTCACTATTGTTTGACCTTGGAGAAAACCCTCAGCACAAAGCTGCATGTGATGAAAATGGTGCAAAAATATTAGTTGCCCTGTCTTGTCTTACTTAGTGAATGACACACCCGATAGCTTCTCATTACATTTTTGAAACCTTATACATTGTGCGTATAGGAGACAAACAATATTATTTCTCTTTTTGCCACAATAAAATATATAGCATTCCTAATCATGCACATCGGTTCTGCAGAGCTGTTTGGCTTTCTGGCTCACCCTGTGGCCGTGGAAAGGCATCTGCAGAGCACAACTGTACGTGCAGCTGTCGCAAACTTTACATCATCTTGTTTCAAAATGCTGCTAACAGGTGGCTCTAAAACTTTAATGACTTAGATTGGAGAGGTTATCAGAGACCCAGGAAATTATGAATGGGCTGTATTCCATTTCATCTTTCCACCTAGATTATAAAACCGGAGGTAGAAGACATCCTAGACATGATTCACAGGTGAGCAAACTGAGTTGCAGACAAGATGAGTGGTTTAGGCAGCTCACACAGCTAGTTATTTAAAGCCAAACTCGGTTTGGTTGGAGGTAAGAACCTTTCTCTCAACCTGCAGGGTCTCTCTCTCTCTGTGTCTCCTTGAACAGACTTCCTGTTTTGGCAGAGCCTAAGCTCTGACAGGGCAAGGTCGTCTCTTACCTTTTATTATTATGCATCACAACCCCCATCACGAAGCCCCCCATTCAGCAGCCTTCAGACTGACAGGCTGGCCTTCTGTTAGAAGTCACCTGACCAGCAGCTAGCCCCTAGGCAGCAGGCTCACTTCTGCCCCCGACTTTGAGCTCACTGAAGCTCACACAGAATGGTGCAGTTATGAACTCCCCCATAGTCCAACAGACCCATCTAACAAGGCCAGAGTGGATCCATCAGTCCCAGCTCTGAAGGGGTATGTGCATAGCTGCTGTGAAAGTGTGGGTGTGAGTCAGGCCAACTGAAACCAGTTGCTGTGTGAGTGTTACCTCAAGGACAAAGCCCCTGGGACTTGCCATGGCACAGAAGCAGGGGCAGGCAGCTGGGGCTGGCCTTCCATTACTAAGGGTCTTGTGGATTCAGGGCATCTCTGCTCTGTGCTCATGAGAGTCCAGTGGATGAATCAGCTCCCACATGTGGGCCTGGGATTGGTGATCATGGTGGACATACTCGGGAAAGCCTCTCTGCTGGTCTGGAGTTAGCCAGTGTGCACCCCCCTCCCCCAGGAGGATGTCAAAACGGGCACACCCTGACATCAGGCTCTCAGTCCTTCAGACACATTGCCCTGATCTTTACCAAGACATGGACCTTACCTCAAGCCCTTGCCTATTTTCCCACCTTTCTCCTCAAATTGACCCTGTCCTTGAAATTCTGGCCCAGCACTTGCTTTCTCTGTTTCTGTGACTCCATTCACCCTCAGCTCACACAAATTCCATTTTAGGTGACTTTGTCAATGTGTGCATTGCCACATGCCAAGCATCTCTTCCAATGTAGATGATCACCCCAGTGGACAGTGAGCTGCCCAGCACAGCAAACCCCTGTTCTGCGTCCAGAGTGACTGCCCTTACCCACCAGTGAAGGGGCCCCTGCCATAGGACAGCAAACCTGCTGGCCCTTCCTGGCCACTCACCTCATTCAGCTTGACCCAGTTGAAGGACTTCAGTGGGTGGGAAGGCTGGGGGACACGCTTTTTCCTGAGTGGGACATCACTGCTGGTGTAGGGGTCCTGAGGGAGGGGTGGGCCCATGCCAAAGCAAGGTGGAGCACCTGGGGGAGTAGGGGCCCCCCCAGGTGGAAGGGGAGGGGGCGGGGGTGGAGGGCAGCAGCCAAAGGGAAGAGGAGGTGGGGGTGGAGGCAGGTCACTGGTTGTCATGGAGGAAGACAAGGTCAGTGGGCCCCCAGGGGGAGGCGGGGAAGATATAGGGCCTGTCTGTGAGGAGATAGAAAAATCGAAAGGATAAAGCCATTAGCACTGATGCTGTTTAGGTCCCCACCACCATTCCCTTCCTTACTTTATTCTCCATCTGTACTAAACCCCGTGTGCTGCTCTCACCTCCCACATGCACTGAGCTCTATTCTCTCTCTCTACATTCAAACATCCAGAACGCAAATAACCACAGACAGGAAACACATATGATCACACACACACACACACACACACACACACAGAGAGAAACCAGTCAGAGTCACAGACATCACCAAGCAACAGCAGGATTGATGCATACAGTTGTACAGGCTACTGACTGCACAAGGGCCTCCAGCTTAGAGGGAGAAGGAGAACTAAATCCCACCTGCACTCTGCTTTCTAAGCTGTGCTTCCTGTGACAGTGTCACGGAAATTATATTTTCTAATTAACACAAAAGTACCACCCATACAGCCCAGGGGGCCCTTCTATCCTGGCCTGAGGGCCACCTCTCTCCTCTCCCTCATGCTGGGGTCCTTAGCCTCTCGGAAAACCTGCTCTGCACACCCTGTCCTGAAGCCCAACTCAACTCTGTAAAAGGGGGAGGGTGCCTGCGTACTGAGAGCTCATTGAGCTGGGCCACCAGCTCTGCCACTTGTCCTCGAGCCTGGCGCAGCTCCTGGGACTCCCGGGCCAGCTTGTCCTTCATTTTGTTCAGCGCCCGCATCATCTCCTCCTTCTCCGCCGTCTTTGTTTCACATTCCCGCTCCTTCCTCTCCAGCCGGCTCACCAGCTCCATGTGTTCTGGAAGGGGGTGGGACAGGAGAGTAGATGGGGCACAGAGTGTGAGTGTGTGCTCCCCACCCGGGAGAGGACGGCAGGTCAGGGGTGTGGAGCGCGCAGCGGGTTTAGACAGACCCTCTCACCTTTCCGGAACTTCTCTGCCTGGTCACGCCACTGTTTCACTTCGTTCTCATTGATGAGCCTGTGGGGCACAGGAGGAAGGGCAATGTAGTTGTCGACTGCTGGCCCACAGTTCCCCAGAACACATCATCTTTCTATCCCCATGTGGGTACCCTGATCTCCAGTCTGTCCAGCCACACTAAAGAGGCTAGGAATTTGACTTCCCAGATGTCTCTCCAGGTCCCTATCCCCACCTAGTTCACATTATGTGTCTGTATGAGTGGTCAGATCTAAAAGGATCCTGAGATACCTTATAATTCGGCCCCTGCATGATACAGTTAAAGTACTAAGGCTCTGAGACCATACCTGGGGGTGAACTAATTAATGTTACAACTAGAACCGAATCACAGGCTTCCCTAAGTTATATGATTTGTACCCCTGTGTAAAAATAGGTTTGCATTTGAGAGAAATCAAAATACTGGCCCTACCAAGGTCCTGACTTCCAAAGCCCAGTGTACAAGAACAAGTGAAATGGACCCCCCACACCAAAAATACAGAGTGAGTGCAATGCGGTGAAACACAGGAAGGTCTCGTTCATGTCAAATTCCTGGAACAAGTGTTAAAGATGAGCTTTTACCTTGACACTAAGGCATAAGAGAGGGGAAATCCCTCTCAAGTGGATTGCAATAATCACTTCTTTTGTAAATCTGGAAATGTGGAAGAGTCAGATACAGGACTCTTGGTGCCCTCGACCATAAGGCAGGGGCAGAGTATGGGGGTGATTTGTGTTTGATGTAGAGACTTCTCTGGAGACAGTCATTGCTGTCACCCCCAACGTGCTACCTCCTTCACCACCATCCAGAGCAGGGGTTTCTTTGGGCACACCCCAAGAGTTGTGACCCTTCTTCCCTGAAATTGGGAGCAAGTCAGCATAGAGTAAGGTCTGACTCAGGGCCACGTAAATCCAGGGGATATGGAAGGATTGACCAGGGAGGGCTGCTATGCTGGGAACTGCAGGCACTCCTAGAGTTTGTTGGTACAGGAGACTGCATGAGGGCCAAGGACTGCCATGGGCCCAATGGGAGCCTGATGGAGGAACTGGGCTGAAGCTATTGTTAAGTCCTGTCCCGGAGTGCTGCTCCTGGGAGAAAACCGGTAGCACATGCACTGTGCATCTGCGCATTCGATATTGCCAGTGAACTGGAGGTGATAGAGACAATCACCAGCTGGAAAAAAATCCTGCACAGCCAGTGAGCGAGATTCTGTGGCCAGAGGCACCCAGCAGGAACTTTTGAAGATTCCAGGAACACTGACGTCTTTACCCATGTGCCAAGCCTGGAGAGCAAGAAGCCTGTTTACTAAGTTATCTGATCAAGTAAGACCTTTTCCCCTTTTCCTTCCTGTGCCTAGAGAGTCAGAAACTGGTTAGTTAGTGGAAGGGTAGGGTAGGAGAGGGGTCAGAGGAGACAAAGAACAGAGAAAAGCAGGCAAATATCACATGTGTATATACACGCACACACATGCACACACATGCACCCTTCCCACCCCGGTGGCAGAGCAAGACTGAAGGCTAACCCAAATTGAGAACGTTTGATTCACATCTGGAGCTAGTCCTCCTAGTTGCAGACTTAAGGCTATGTTGCAGCTTGAAGTGACTTTAGCACTTCTTCAGGGTGTCCCAAAAGTTACCCCTAAAATTCCCATAGGTAAGAAAAAAATGGAAAATTGTAGCTAAGTGCACTTTTATTTACAAAATATTCATTACAAAATCTTACAGAGCGGTGGCGAACATGTAGAGAATATTTTGTAAATATTTTGCAAAATTGCGTAATAAATATTTTGCAAATAAAGGTACAGTTAGCTACAATTTCCCATTTTGCCTATGTATGGTGACTTTGGGGACACCCCGTATTACCCAAGAAGGAGCAAAAACTTCACTGGACCTGAGCTTTCCTTCTCTGGCTATAGAAAAGTGTATACGTGTAAAAGTCTCCCCTCTAAATAGTGTAAAGAATTAGTAGAAAATCCAACTAAAGCTGCCTTCCCATTACTTTCCTGGCTGCATTCATCCAACATACCACTTAAGATTTCTACTACATCAACATCTAATTATTTGTGCGAGTGAAAACAGTAGCAAGAATCGCTAAAACATCATTTTCTTCTTGGCTTTAGAGTTCAATACAGTGAATTATTGCAAGCCAACTTGCCTCCTTAAGGGCAATTGGTTCAAATTCATACTTATAGTTAAGTAAAAGTATAGAATTAATAGTGCACTAATGCAAGGTTGTATTATTTAATTGATGTGGATTTAAATCTGTTTCTCTGAGTTTCTCTACATCCAGGGTCAGTATGAGATGATATGTCAGTAGGCCTTAGGCTCTGATAAGCTCCTCCAATAGACTGTGATCAAATGACCACATTCTGTCTCAGTGGTCCACAAACTTCCCATAATGGGCCAGAGCAACTATTGCAGGTATTACATAACATTGACAGAGACTGTACATGGGACGTAAAACCTGCAATAGTTTGCAGGTTTTCATAAAGGGCCAGTGCAACGATTGCATTTTTTTGTTTGTTTAAAATGTAAAAGCTATTCTTAGCTCGTGGGCCATACAAGAAGGAGCTGGAGGAATGGAATTAACATATACACTGCAGTTTGCTGACCACTGTTCTGTTAATGGGTTTACATTTCCCCTCTATCCAACGCATGCCATGGGTCATTAAGAATTAGGTGCATACCCTACACATCTGTGCCACCCAACACAGTAATCACTAGCCATATGGCATGAGGCTACTCAAATTTAAACCTTCTGATAGGCTGAGAGAGTTCTATTGGCTGATGCCTCTCAAGACCCATTTGGGGTGTCTGGGTTGAGAAAGGGTGCTGAGGTTTCCCTGGTGAGACAAGAGTGGAGAGTGAAGAGGAAGGCGAACCGAGGCTGGCCACTGCTCACATGTTGACGATGTTCCTCACATTGAAGTTCTCCAAGGGAGCCAGGTCGGGGTCCATGCCCCGCTCATCCTGGAGGACGATCTGCTGGAGGATACGGTCCAGGAGCTGCCACTGCTGGAAGTAGCCACCATTCCGCTTGTCTGGGGGATGACAGGCACCATGTCCTTACTGAGCCCCTCAGTCCCAGGTGCCCTGCCCTTCCCCACTCACAGTGAGCTCCTGGTCTGGTGGAGGAGGCAGCACCAGTGTTGATAACATCAACTCTCTAATCCAGTTATCTCCCAATTATCCGCAACAGACCTTCTGTGAAGGTGTCAACCACCTCCCCCACCCTGACACTGGGTATATTTCTCTACTACTGAAATCCTTCTGGCTGCCCTTCTTCCCTGTTTGGACCTGGGGTATACTGTGCCTTGGGAATGGAAATTACTTTTTACATTATCTATAAAAAGCACCTGCTTCCAAATATTACATGCTGAATAATGAGGTCTCCAGGGAAATTAAGAAAAAAAAAAGATTTTAGGATTATCTACACTACTGCTGTACAGAGAAAGATGAATGGAAGCTGATTACAGGTGTGCACTGAGAGTCAAAATGAGTTAGAGAAGTGCTTATTGGCGCCTGAGAAGATTTCTTATGGAAATTTCTTGTGGTGACCTTGAACTGTGAAGGCAAATGGATTGTGTGTTGTGTGTGATCTCACAGCCCCCCCTCATCCTCGCTAATGACAGTCTGGCTGAACATGGACTTCCTTTTTATATGATAGCCACAAGCTCTCAGTCCTTGGTTCTTGATCCCAAGCACTTGTCTTGACTGACTGACCACCACAGAAAGCCAAGCAGTGCAATCCTGGTATCAAAGTCAAACTATAATGCCTACAAGTAGATCAGGTCTGCAAAAGTCTGATTTGGGAGCAGAACTCATAGAGGGACCCATTGACACTGTCCATGGAACATCAACACAAGAACCCCTGGGAGCAAAAGGTGTCGGGTTTCCCAAGGACTTCCTTGTCTTCCATGAAGACCTTCCGGGCTGAGTTTTAGAGAAATGACAGTTTCCTGGTCCATTGCACCAGCCCCTTTCCACCATTCCACTGACACATGCATTGCAGAAGGACCGTTTTCCATTTGCCTTTCCCCCAGGAAAATAGCATAAAGCCAGGCCACTGCTCATAGAGGTAGAACATGATTTAGCTAAACCCTTGACACCAAAGAAACATAAATCCCTTCTGGCGGTAAAGAACTTTTCAGCCTCAGATCCATTCACTGTAAACTGGAGACAACGATGTGTACTCTTCAGGTCACTCTGAGGTTCAGAGATGACATGCTGAAGGACCTCCTATCATGCCCGGCCCAGAGTTGTCACACAATAAATTATAGTTATCATCACCATCACTATGATCGCCAGTACCATCTTCACCACTGAGGGGAGTCTAGCTAGGCTGACCATTACGGTAAACCATACTAGCTTTCCAAATTTTCTTTTTTGTGCTGATCTTAAGTTCCAAATGAGTTAAAACTCATTTCAAATCATGTTCTGGGGTGGCTATTAGCAATTATGTATAATTTATTCAATCACTGCATACACCTGGATCTTAAGAACTGAGCCATCTGCTCTTGTCCATGCTGGCATTGGTATTTGTAGGGAGAGGCAGGGGTGTTAGGGTGGAAGCCAGCAAGGACTAGATAGAGGAGTAGATAAAACCTTAAAAAAAAAAAAAAAAGGCATGCTCATTCCACATCTGTGCAACTCCCCCAAGCATAAAACTTCTGCTTGGAACTCTCCAAGAGAACTGATCACTTCCCTGTCATGAGCTCACAGCCAGAGCTGTTTGATTTTTCAATGATCAAATGACTGCTTGTTGGACTAGAATGTCCGAGTTGCTCCGAGCCAAGCCCCCAGTTCCTTCTCCAGATGACAGTGGAGGTCTTGACTCCTAGGACGGAGGGAAGAGCTAGGGCCTTAGTCATCCAGCCTGGTCTCCCAAGGGTGACGCAGAGAGAGACATTGGCAGACTCCCAAATCCAGGGAGGTGCTGAAGCCTCACGTCAGCCTGCCCAGAGCCAGGGTACAGGTGCAGCTAAGGGGAGCGGCAAGTGCAGGGAACTCACAAGGCATCTGCAGGCAGTGGTGCAGGACAGAGAGCAGGCAAGGGTAGGCCTCAGTATGCTTCAGTTTCTTGTGGATCAGCTCAAACATCTGGGAAGCACTCTTTGTGTCGATGTGGACCTGGGGGTGAGGAAGGTACAGTGAACAGGGACCGCGTTGGGGAGATTAGGCCTTGTTTCTATCCACTGAGCCCCACCTCTGAGGACAGCTTTCCTTCCTGTCCCTCTGGCCCAGGCTGTCCTGTGTACTGCAGGGTGTCCAGCAGCATTCCTGGCCCATCAGAGGCTAATGGCATCCCTTCACATCAGCTTTGACGACTAAAAATGTATCTAGATGCTTGTTCCTGGGAGAGAGGAGAGCAAAATCGCCCCTTGCTGAGAATGCCTGATCCAAACTAAGAGAAGGAAGTGGGGACAGAGATGATTCAAAGTAGCAGGCAGCAGCTGGCATAGGTCCAGCAGCAGGTTTAAATCCCAGATGTACCCTCTAGTTGTATGACAACAGGTAAGCTGCTTATCCTCACTAAATACAGTTTCTTTACCTACAAATCTAAGGCTCCTAAAGCACCATCCAAAAGTGGGTTTCTATTTGGATAGGGATTTTATTAAGCAGCTGAGTTGGGTGTTTTCAGGGTTGTTAAGGCTAAAATGAAAATGCAATTTGGTTTGCTAAGCATGATCTGGTTAGGGATAGTGAGAGGTGACTCAGGAAATTGCTGGAAGGCAGGGGCAAAGTCAGCCCAGGAGAGGTATTTGAGACTAATCACATATAAGAATTTTCTCTTTTGGAGGGAGGGGAGGTTCCTATTCCTGTGTCCGGGGGCAGATGCCCTAGTAGGGGAGGTTACCAGAGCCAGCATACGTCCTGGGCTCTGGAGCAGGATGAAGCAGTGAATTATGTGTGTCATCTTGACTGGATTAAGGAGTACCTCTGTAGCTGGTAAAGGATTATTTCTGGGTGTGTTTGTGAGGGTGTTTCTAAAGGAGACTGGCATTTGAATCAGTGCACTGAGTAAAGATCTACGCTCACCCAATCCAGATAGAGTGTGAGGAAAAGGAAAGGAGAATTCATTCTCTCTCTCTCTCCTGGAAAAGTGGGGCAGCCTTTATCTCCTGCCCTTGGACATCAGAATTCCAGGTTCTCCAGTCTTTGGAGACTCTGGAACTTGCACCAGTGGCACCTCAGACTATCTGACAGAATTACACTACTGGCTCCCTGGTTCTCCAGCTCACAGATGCCAATCACAGGACTTCTCAGCCTCTAAAATTATGTGAGCCAATTCCCCTAATAAGTGCCCTCTCATCCTTCTATCTCTCTCTCCAGCTACCCTACTGGGTATGTTTCCCTGGTGAAACTCTAACACACAGGACCTGGCCATGGGGGTTCCCACTAGGAAACCAAGCCCACACCGGCCCCACCTGAGCACAGGGTGTAGAGAAGTGGCTGTTTCCCCCTCCCCCCCTGGGGAGGCGGGCCCTGCTGCAATTGCTGTAGCCATGGCTCCTTACCATGTCAAACCTCCTGGCTAGCTCCAGGTCATCCTCATTCCGGACCATCTCGAAGAAGTCTAAATGCCTAGAGAGAGTAGAGAAATAGAGTGCACATTACAGCCTGGACATCCCTGGTGGAGGGTTACAGCCCCTTCAATACTTCCACCAGCTAAATCTGAAAGCTTTATCAGGTAGCCCAAGAAAAAAAAAAAAACAGAAAAAAGCCACTGTCTAGAGGCCAACATTCCCCCTCCTTAATAAAATCCCATGACTCTCCTCTCTGGGGAGGCCAGCTCCGGGTTCCTTCACCATAGGCTAGGTTTCTCGGTTTTGGCACTATTGATATTTGGGGCTGGATGATCCTTGATTAGGGGAGTCTGATCTGTAAATTGTAGGGCGTTTAGCAGCATTCTTAGTGTCTGTCAGTGTGATAGTCAAAAGTGTCAGCTGGGGGATAAAACCACCTCAGTCAAGGGCCACCGCCCTACAGCTACCTTCCCCTGTGTTCTCATCCTGCCCTGGAGTCAGCTTTCAAAACCAATTTCTCCTCCCCCACCTGCACACTCATCCACTCCTACCTCAAGAGGAACCATCTTATCCCTTAAAACCCAGCATAAAAAAATAACCTGCACTACAGGGACAGAACTGAGGGATCTCACTGGTGTCACACAGGAATTGAATCATGCCCTTTGCTACAGGGCTCTAAGGTAGGCACTGTGGGCAGGGCCCTTCTCTATAAGCAGGAAAGGTACCACAGAACACTTAGCATTCCAGGCCCCCAACAACCATTGCCCCTACAGACCAGCGTGGAAACTAAATACCCCCACATTTCCAAATGCCCCCCAGGGGGCAGCACAGCCACGGTTGAGGACTGCTGGGTTCACCTGTGGATAACACCAGAGGTGAGACCGGAAGTTCAGCCTAAGAGGACAGGTGAGCATGCCTGCCCACACAGCGCTGATTCTGAAGCTATGCTGGCTACGGCAGGTGGGCTCAGTGAGAAGGGCAGACTTCACAGAGGTCCTGACCGTCCCCACTGAGGCACTGTCCCCACAGGCCTGCAGCGGGCATGGGGGGCTTGGGCCTTACTTGTCCAGGATGGCGTTCTCGTGTTGCCGGAGTTTGTCAATCACAGGCTGTATTCCCAGCATCAAGAACTCATACCGTAGATGTAGGCGGAACTCCAGGTTATCCTGGGGGCCACCAAGGGAGGATCAAACTCATTTTCGCAATTTCCACAATAGTTCCTCTTCACCACCCCAGCCCTGGTCCCACCACACCTTTTGCAGCAAACTCGCTTGAAGCTGCTTCAAGTCCCAGAGCTCCAAGAAAGAACATCTGGGCAGTGGGGGAGAGGGGAGACGTCCCTGACCTTATTATCTCTATTTAGGCCACCTGCCTCACTTCCTTCAAGCCCCTCACCAGTCTTTGGCCATTCAAAAGCAATGTTTTAGAAAAATAGGAGCACAGGCTTTGGAATCAGACAGATCTTGGTCCAAATCCCTGCTCTGCCACTTACTGCCTTGGGAAAGCTTTAGTTTTTACCATTTGTAAAATGGGCATAACACTACCTGCCCACAAGGATGTGTTACCAATCAATTAGAGCAGCCACCAGCCACAAATAGCTGGCACTAACAAAAGTGATGTCAGCATCTTAGGGACAGACCCTTTCCACAACCCACCTCACCTAACACTGGTCATCAGGACTGGCTGCAAAAAAAGTATCTTGGAAGAAAAGACGGAAACATAGAGATCACTGAATGCCCCTTTGGCCCCTTTTATTCTTCAAGTTGAACTTGCCCAGGATGTCTGATTGCCTTAGAATTTGGGAAATTCTCCTGCTCTCCAAGTTATTTTAATGTTACCATTTTTATAGTCTGAGAATCTCATTCTGACCCCCAAAGAAGGGAAAGCAGAAACTGTACCTTCTAATAGAAGGAGCAAGAGAAGTATGACCAGCCAACCAGAAGCCAGCTTAGAAGCAGAGCTCTAGAAAGACGGCCCCAAACTTGTCCCCTTCCCATCAATAACGCACCACCACCCTGAGCCACCTTCAACCAGCCTAGCTTGGGAGCTGTCTGGGAAATTCATGACGCATGATACTGAGTGGGAAACTCCCCAGGTGCTTTCCTGGGTTTAGGTAAAATCAAAAAGAATTGTATGGGGAAGCCAAACAGGAATTAGGCTTCACCACAACTTCGAAGAGCCACCAGTAAGATCGGCCATGGGTGCACGCAGTCCACATCTGGCAGACAAGACACTGCCCTGGTGACAGTGAGTTCCACAACATGTAATTCCTTATTGGCCCCAAGTGAAGAAGGCAAGAGGTTATAAAGGCCACTTAAAGACAATGACAATAGTGGCAGACACACCAACCAGGTGCCTTGGCCCCTTCTCTCTGCCATTTCACCAGGCAGCACTCACACTCAACATTCCCACTCGGGTCCAGAAAGTCAGGCAACAGCAATGGCAGGAGAACGCGCCTTACCTCTCCAGCTCCAGCATTGAGGACAGCGTTGATGAAGGACATGATGGCTGTTTTCAGATTTACTTCATCCCGGTACCGGCCCAAGCTGCGATCTAGCTCATTCAGCAGGGTCTGGATGAAAAGGCAGGGCAGAGCAGCAGAGGAGGGCTCAGCACCCTATGCGTGCAGCCTCTGAGCCTTTGCTCCCACTGTTCCAACCCCCTGGAATGCCCTTTCTCTACTCAATCTCATCTATCCAACTTACCTGGGACCTCACCAAACCTGTCCTCTGCCTAGAGGCCCTCTTCCTTTGCCTTTCTATACTGCAGTCTCATCACTATCTCACTCCATTCAGCCTTTGGGGCATTGCTTATAGCTTGTATGGATTCCCTGACCAGCCTCTTGGCAGCAGAGACACCGCGTTTTATCCCTTTTGCATTTTCAGCAAAGAGGCAGAAGCCACTTTTAGCATGGAGTGAGTGCTCAAAACTGTGTGGTTATGGAATTAAAAAAAGAAAGCCTAGACTGGTGCTAAACCATAGAGTTTATAATGTCAAGAGACCACGGCTGCCAGGCACTGTGCTAAAACAATACTTGTCCATCTATTGGTAATTTCTTGGACAGGTCAGGGAAAAGAGGAGAACAGCATGGCCTCAGCTTTGAGGGCTGATTCCAGTGTCTCCACATTAGGCACTTACTGAGACACAAGGCCTAAAATCTTGACCCCAGGAACTACAGTCAATTCAATTCTTTTTTTTTTTTTTGAAATAGAGTTTCACTATGTCACCCGTGGTAGAGTGTTGTGGCGTCACAGCTCACAGCAACCTCCAACTCTTGGACTTAAGTGATTCTCTTGCCTCAGCCTCCTAAGTAGCTGGGACTACAGGTGCCCACCATAACACCTGGCTATTTTTTTGTTGCAGTTGTTTAGCTGGCCTGGGTTGGGTTCGAACCTGCCACCCGTGGTGTATGTGGTTGGTGCTGAAACCACTGTGCTATGGGTGCTGAGCCTAATTCAACAATCCTTGACTGAGCCTTTATCATGAGGCAAGCCTGGGCTCAGAGTTGTAGAGCCTAGTAAGTACCACAGGCCATATTCCAGCCTCCAGGAACCTGTGGTCTAGTGAGGAGGGCAAGTCCATTTCACACCCAAACTCATAACTCTTCAGGTCCTGCATGTCTACATAGGTAAGCTCTCAGGGTCCCAGTACTCTCTGCCTGTGACCTTCCAACAGCAGGCATGCACCACTTTCCTCCAGATTTTGCTATAAAGAATCCTCACTCCCAGTATGTGACACCCCTGCTACTCTGCTGCACCACCCGGGCCCTGGCCCCTCACCTGGAAGCGCGTTCGCTCTGCAGCATACACCTGGTAGTGTAGCATGGCCTGCAGCACCTTCTTGTGTCCACCAGGCACGAGGCACACAGCGCCCAGGATCTCCAGCACGGCCACCTTGGTCTTGCTGTTCTCTGTGCGCAGACTCTGGGCGATGGTGCTGATGGCTTCAGGCTGTGCCAGCACGTGAGCTCGCCCCTGGGAGTTGTTCATCAGTGCCTTGATGCAGCCAATGAGGGAGGTGTGGATGCGGCTCTCGCAGGTGGCATGGTCCATGCTCCGGAGGAAATTTAGCAGACAGGTCAAGCCCTCAAGCTCGATGAAGCGGGTCACAAACCTACCAGCCAGAACCATTAGCAAATATGGTTTGTTGGACTTGCATATGATTCCACATACATTCTGCAAATAGTTACCCCTTTACCCATGTACCACCATGCACCTTATTCTTCCTAAATGCTAAGTTCATTTATAAAGTTTATATGAAGCCCTGAAATCCTATCATTCTCACAGAAGACTGCATCTTATTTGCATCTTAAATACTGTGATTTGCATGTCATTGATGGCAGCTGCATAGCTGAAATAGTGTATATGTGAGGGAGATAATCCTGATAATTATTACAGCTGTTAAACCTGCAGATGCCTTTCCAATAAGGATGGGAATGAAGAGAAACACAGTTAGATAACAAAGAGGACTTCCAAACCGGGAGGGCACAGAGATCAAGGTTGGGGAAGATACATTTCAAGGGATCCTAAAGAAAATAGTAGCGTTATCTTGACCATTAGCAGAAAACATTAAAACATTAGTTCGGAGGTTCCTAACTTGGAGTCTGTGTTCCCCTAAAGGGTCAATGGATAGCATGTGGGGGTCCAAGGACCTGGATGGGAAAAGAAAATTACATTTTATTTTTGGTTACCTCTAACTAAAATTTAGCATTTCTCTCACTGTTAAATATAGGTGATAAATGACCATAGTATTAGCACGAGCGTGACTTTATCTTCCAAAGAAATCACAGTTATTTTCATATCAAATTACAGTTATTGCAGGTATCTCAAAATACCATTTGCACTCATCAGTACTTCAAAATGATGGTGCTTATCAGGTCTGCTGCTAACTCTCACTATTTAAAGCATAAAGGAGCACATTTATTACTATCTCACACATTTTTAATATTTGATAGCTGTATTTTAATTTAATTCATTTATTTTTTCTTTTTATCTATTTCATTTTAATGTTTAAGACCTGAGAATCTGCCTGTAAGTTTCATCTGGGTGCCAGACATCCACAGCGTGTGCATGCACAGACGCAGTTTAGAGTCTTGATTTAGAAGAATAATTATTGATCAAAGGGAACCACCATAAATAAGCAACGCATTTATCCCAAATGTACTTGTGTGTATATTGTCATGTGAAAATATACTTAGAATAATAGAAGAACATGCTCTCAAATTAAATTAAAGGTAGGTGATTTTTTTACTTTTTCTATTATGTGCTTTTCTGTATTCCACAGAAGTTCCACAAAGACAATGTGTAACTTCTGTAATCAGAATTTTATTAAGGGAAATCAAAATGAATTGAGGTGGAAGATGAACCTGTCAACTCCTCTCAACCCCTTTATTTCCTGACCATCTCATCCTTTCTACTCCCCTTTCCATATACCATGACCCCTCCCCGTCCCCTACAGGGCCATAAGGATTAGGGTGCTCCCAATCTCCTTGGGTTTCTGTTTCCAGTCTCATGGGAAGAAAGCTCAGTCCAGAAAACACACACACACACACACACTCACCCAGTCAAATGGATAGCTAGTAAATGGTTAACAACTAGCTCTTTGTGGTGGGGGGGAGGTATTTGGGGGGAAGAAAGGCCTGATTGTAGTGTTTGCTTATTTTATGTTATAAATACTCTCAGCATAGCAGATTTCAACCTATCAATATGACAGCATTGAACGTGGAGTTGGGAAGAGATGAACTGCTATACAGTCTTTCCACCATGCACATACAATGGGTACAAACTCACAAGCATATGTTATAAACAAATAGAAAAATAATTAGCTAATTACGCAGTGGTATTTGTTACCTTTGTTTTGATATTATTTATTTAATCTTAAATTTTCAAAATTCAAATTTTAATCAGAGCAGCGAGCAGACACAGTGGTTCACCTGCTGTAATCCTGGCACACTGGGAGGCCAAGGTGGGTGGATGGCTTGAGCTCAGGAGTTTGACCTGAGCAAGAGTGAGATCCTGCTCTCTAAAATATACATTTATATGTATATAGCCAAGCGTTGTGGCAGGAGCCTGTAGTCTCAGCTAGTAGGGAAGCTGAGGCAAGAGGATCACTTGAGCCCACGAGTTTGAGGTTGCTGTGAGCTATGATGCCACCATACTCTACTGAGGGTGACAAAGTGAGACTCTGTCGCAAAAAACAAAAACAAAACCCCACAAAACCTGCTGAAAATTTAACAGTCGGCTTTCACCGGCTGATATGAGCCAATTCCAGCACACCCCTGGGCAGCCCCAAGCACAAGGACACCACTAGATGTGGAAGTGGAGGGAGTCCTCCTGTGGTCCTGGGACACCCATCCCCTCTTCCTTGCCTGCCTGACTCCTGTTCCAGATTAACAAACCTCATCCAGAGACACCACATCTCCCCCTAGTGGTCGGAGTGTTTCTCGACGCACTCCACCTGCTTCCTGGCTGGGCGCTCTCCCTTGCCGCCCCCTTATTCTCAGAAAGCTCTGTCTTGTACACCTTGTCTGTTTGGCCACTCTCCTGTCCTAGTCCACACTTCTTCAAAAAAAATTCAGGTACTTGCCCTTGCTTCCTCTTTAGACAGCTCGTCGGAACCTGAGGTTTACCCACTTTCCTATGTCCATCTGCTCTCCACCCCTGCAACCCCCAAGGAGAGGAGGAAGATGAGCTGGGACGTGAGGTGAGCTGGAGTGGACTCTGGGGAACCCCAGAACCGAAGCATAGTTCTATGCCTCCGTGCGGGGTTCCCGGAAGTGGAAAGGCCGCAGCAGGAGGGGAAGGGAGGGGGTGGTTATCACCTCATGGGCTGCGTCCGGAGAGCTGTCTTCAGGTCTTCCACGACTTGGTTCCTCATCTCCGTCTCTTCCTCATCAAATGCGTACAGACTCTGCATCTGAGGGGCCCGCACGAAGAAGGGGACAAAGGTCCCTCTGCGCCATCTGTCTCCCAACCGCCTGCACCCCCAACCCAGGAGTGACCCGGGGGCTACCTGGCCTCAGGAATGGTTTACTAAGACAGACTCTGAGAATACCCATGTTCTGGGCCTGGACTGTACTTTCCTCATCTGTGAAATGGGGAGAATTATTGGCCTAGGCTATTTCTCAAGCCTCTGTAATATCCAAATGGGTTAATAAATATTTAAATGTTGGGGAACTCTAGGATTGAACACAGGAAGGGTGGATTATGATAAAATTTTGTTAATAACTGGAAAGCTGCAGACCCCCAGTTGAGTGGGGCTTGAGGAACAGCAAAGGTGGTTGGGTGTGGGTGTAGCATGGGATGGGGATGGGGGGCGTCACTCTCCTCCACAGCCTTTCCAGGTGGGGGCAGGGCAGGAGAGGAGGGCCACTCACTGCAGCCATGGAGTTGATGCGGTCAATGTAATAGTCAGGCCAGCTGGTCGCCAGCTTGTTGGGATCCTCCTGTTCCTGGAACAAGAAAGACAATGGTACCAACTAACCGGCAAGACAGGTCCATGGCCTGAGAGCCTGAATGTCAATCAATATCAGTCCTTCCCAGGTGGGGTAACTTGGTGGAAGTTACCCAATCTCCCAGGCTTCTATTTCTTCCTAGGTAAAATGCAGATAACAAACATTGAATTTCATAATCAATCATTGCTATGCTCAGAAACAGTGCACTGCTTTCAATGGGTACAAACCTGTGCTTACATTTTGGACATCTTTTTTTAAATTTGATTTTTCTGATAATCTCATTCTCATATTTTACAAGACTATCAGTCTGTGGCATATGGAAATTTTAAAACTTAGTCTTTCTTTTT